TAGTGCATGGGCACAGGCGTCAGTAGAGACAGGCCTGGCAGAGCAACAGTGAACGGCTCTGGGATGCTGAGGTCTGCGAAGAGCGAAGAGAAATGCAGAACCTGATTTCAGCAAGAGCAACATGTTCCTGAAACAACATCTTTTTTGACCCTGAAAGAACATTCCAATCAACCAATCAAATTTAAATTCAACTTTAGGCTTAAAACCAGGGTTAGGTGCTTCTACATCAGTGTTATTCACCCATCATTTCTATCTGATTTTTGGGATTACTTATGGGTAGGGTTAGTTTTAGGGCTAGGGATGAGGTTAGGACCAGAATTTTAAAGTCCAGGTTCAGAAAGTAAAAGTCCTCCTCAGTATTTGCTTATTAGCACAGTTTTTCAGCCTGGAGATTACAACTAATTTGTGAAATCAGCAGTCTGAGTTCATGGGTGGAATTCAAATATTGCAGGACTTTTACTTTCTGACCCCTGGACTTTACACCTCTGGTTAGGACAAAATTTTCAGACAGGAATGTTGTTCCAGTATGAACAAAAAATGATGACCCTGGAATGCAGCCTTAATTCGGCAAAATCGACTTGTCTTGATTCCCAAAGATGTCTTTTAGAAAATGGGGTTTTTTTTGTCTCCATATAAGGAGCTCAAAAACCCCCCTTTGAGATGGACAATCTTTCTTTTAGTAATTGTGCAAGATTATATTCATAGCAAAATCTACCAGAAAAAAGATATTCTTTATCATTTTTTTTCTGCTAAAAGCAGTCAAGTGGAGCTGAGATTTAGCTGATATAATATGAAAAGTGTTTCTCCATCTTTGCCCTGCTCTGCTATGATCAGCCACACTCAGAAAGTTACTAATAAAAAGTCACTTAATCTAACCTGCCATTAAACACATTGAATTAAATATTTCTAGCAAGGACATCTAACTCAAAAATATAATTTTCACATTTTTTTCAGGCACATTTAAAATGGATCCACAATAACCATCTTCGCAGGTCAAGAAAGAGTCAAGACTGCCTGTAAAAAGCCTGTAGTGGAGCAATCCTACTGTGCATTTTCATCTATACTTGGAAAAATAAGACCTCCAACTGGCAAAAAAAAAAAAAAAAAAAAAAAAAAAACCTTTTCCTTAAAATAAAGATATCTGTAGATCTGAAGTTTGCAAAATTGCAAAAATAAATGTAGCCTATTTCATTTAATTGTCATTATGACCAGAGTCTCACCTTGGCATTATCTAAAAGCTGCCAAATACTACTTTCATCAAGAATTAAGTAAAGTTTAAAGAAAAGACGAACCTCTGTTATCAGTCCTCATTCTATTATTTGTCTTTTTAGATTTGGGGGAGGAAATAAGGAGGATGAGGTTGGTATAAGGGCCATTCTACATAATTGGTTCAAAGAGTTGGAAACGTCTTTCACAAAAAAAAAAATTATGTATGAAAATTGTATAATATCCAAGGTATCTTGCAATATCTAGTAATTGTGCAGATAATTATCATATCGTATTTTGGAATATTTTTCCTCTCCCCAAATTTGTCACTACCGAAACACAATAATAAATAATTTAATAAGAAGGCTTATATTGACCTACTAATATTTTGTATACATCTACCTTGTAAATATATGTTTTGCTATTTCAAAAAAAAAACAGTTTTCACAGGTAAACCAATAACAAGTGTAGATGTAGTTAATCGTACTGATTTCAAAGTTAAGGATTCATTAGGTTGAATATACACTGAATCAAACACTATAATAACATCTTAGTTGATAATTCAGTATACTTTATTTTAGACAAAACATCCATGTTTCGGCTGTGACGGCACATTTTCTGTAGAGAAAGTAATGTTTTGGTAGTGACCACATCACATTGCAGAATTTTAACTTGCATAATAAAACACTACTAAATATACTTAGATACTAATTATTTGCATAACTGTACAAAAATTTTGTTTATTTCCACCCAAATAAATGTGTTCCCTTTTGTCACTACCAAAACAATGATGGCATGTTTCGGTCATGACTGTTTCGGTAGTGACAATTTTAGGTACTTTTGGGCCTAAAGATGATAACCAGCTCATGGTTACCTACAGTAGCACAGTTCTGAACAGTTGTACACACATAAAAACTAAATTTTATGGAATTACACCCAAAAAAGTGTTTGGTAGTGACGTCTCTTAAAGTTGCACACAGATTTTAAGACATTTGAACACATTTCCCTCAAAATGATGGTACCTATCTATAATGAAAGAGAGGCTATGAGAGAGAGAGGGACACAAGAATATTTCCTGATCAAAACTGTAGGGGTGTGGTTAAAATCAGTCTCAGCCAATGGACTAAAACACACACTGTTAAACACACAGTGACATGAAAATGCAGGACACATTTTTTTACATAAAGTTTCATGATTTAAAAATAAAATATAAAATAAATGTGTTTTTTTTTTATTGTACTTTTTTTAAATCAAATAGATTTTTTTTAAAACAACAATGAAATTTCTTTATATATATATATATATATATAAATATATATATATATATATATTTCAAAATCATTTCACAAGTTGAAATTTAGGGGTTAGGGTTCGGGACAGCCACCTCCTAATTGAAAGTACCCAATAAATGATGATTTTATGTATATTAAGCTTACTTATATTTTAAATAGTATTTTGGGATTCAATAGATAATAGAAGTATCTTAAACATCTAAAATTGTAATACTTAACTGCTTTTTAAATGTGTTTTTTGGTTGTCGGACAGCAGTTTGCACCAATTCTGTAGAATGGCCCATAAACATTTGAATGTACAGGTATACGTCAGTATAGCTTTCCATTTTACAAATTTGTATGTGCATTTTGGGATATTGCATTAAAACAAATGCTGGATTAAATGCACATACAGTACATGCTCACTTGATTAGATTCATGAACACTTGATTTAAAACATGCCCATTGGAAAAGCTGTGTAAATCCCTAATTACGCATCAAAAAGTCAAATGACTGACTGAATAATTTGCTCAAACATGTTGCTCTCGTCATTCTGAAATGCAGAGACTGTTACAAAACATCAAGTAATTTATTGCATTTAATAAAGAGCCACTGTTGCTACAACTCCATTTCTGTTTTGCACCAATTTTCCCATAAGGGGCCATTTTGTTTAGTTTTTTAGCAAATGGAATGGAAACAGTTGTGTAGTGATATTTCCATTTTTAATTAAATTGCACTCGTAACTTGGATGAAACTTACTGTAGCTCAGTGGTGCCAGATCTAGCATACCCTAACCTACAACACATCACCCATCAACTATATCAGAGAACTGAGGCTCGCTCAGAAACCGACTGTAGATTGAAATGCCCAGTCAACACTGTCAGTCCTAAATGACAGTTGATGTTTCAGTTTTACCTCACCCAGGATCACACATGTGGTCACATCGTACAACCTGACCATCATTAAAAAACTGCACAGCGTACATGTGGCTTTTTCATCATCCCAGACATTTTCTACAGATCCAGATCTTTAAACTTTCATCTGTGGGAATAATTTATATTGTTTGTGTGCGCAGCTGAACAAACTCATTGAATACTTTTAATAGTGTAAGCAAAGATTGAACAGCTTTCTTTTTTCAGACCAATTAAAGATCCCAGCGCCGTACAATTCTGAACAACCTCTTCTTGACTGTAATTATCTTTCTCTTTGCAGTGACCTCCTCTCATTGTGTCCTTTTCTCTTTCTTTCTTTCTCTCTCTCTCTCCGCCAGCTGCTTACTAACTTTGATTTTCTCTTGCCCCAGATCTGTTCAGTAATGAGCATGCAGGGCAATCAATAATTCACTGGAGTTTGAATAAAACCCAGGATGATCAGGTTTGGGTGTGTGTTAAACAGAGAGAGTAATCAGTGCCATTCATGAAGTTGTTTTCTGCTGGTCTTAACAGCCCTCACACAATGTCTCCTGGCTGCTCTTAGATTGCCTCTACGCCCCCTCAGTCCTAACTCGCTTTTTCGCTTCCATGCTGCTATTACGTACGCTCCACATACACACTCGCTATGATGGCTTCCACACACAGTACATACAAATCACACCTGCTCTCTTTAAATGCAGATTAAATTAAACCACTCTACTATGATCAAACCTTGTTACTTGATGCTTGGCCCACAACGTTGTTTAGAATACCGTAAGATGTTAGAAAGTAGTTTTTCAGTTGCAGCTTATGTGTACTTGATATGAAATGATCTAAATTAAACAACCCCGGCTTATTAAAAACATTAGCAAAAATGATATTAGTACATTGTTACTTTAATGTTTAGCGACAGTCAAAACTCAAGTGGGTGGAACTAAAAAGCATGTTCAAATTTCTCAGAAACAGATAAACGTTACTGTGACTGCAGTTCGAAAATGAAACTGGTGAGTGGCGTTAAAATAAAATAGCCTATTGACACTAAAACTATAGTTAACAAAAGCAAACATGAGATAAAAAATTCCCTACAGTGTCGGAAAAGCCAAACATATGGAGCTGGTATCTATTAGCTGATAGCTATGCATGTATTACTGTATGTGATGCAAACGTCAAAATGTAGTTTACAAATCATACACTATGGCAAATGTGTGTTCAGGTCATAACAGTACTGTACAATGAACTGCACACAATGAGTCTTCATTAATTGATAATCTGCACCGTAATCATAATTTGTGTGAAAAGCAATAAACAATGTTGTTTTACTGCTTCTTGTGTTTATTTCAGGTAGACACTTTAGATTTTTTTGGGACTTTTGCAAAAAATACAGGTAGAGGCATGTTTTTCAATGAGCCTAGGTTGCAATTAATGTGCAGGCACTGGAAGTGACTCACTAACCTTTATATGTTGTGTAAATCTAGCGTTTCCCAGAAGAAAATCTCACAGCTCAGGGGTTCACGTTGTAGCACAAGTTCATGTCGAAATCTCAACATTTTGAGCGCAGACCTGGTATCTTGGCAGATCTCCCAACATTATTTTCCTTTTCCTTCTTGTGTAGTTCCACCTGAAGACCCAGTCATCACCGGAGGGCCTGTGGTGAGCCTGAGAGCGGGCGACCCCCTCAATCTGACATGTCACGCAGACAATGCCAAACCCGCGGCCTCAATCATCTGGATCCGAAATGGGGAGGTGCTGAATGGAGCCATGTACAATAAGGTAAGGATTGAGGGATGTGTACTAGTCATGATAAATTGAAACATATATGATTTGCCACTGATCGAAATTCAAAGTCCACCACAGGAATAAAATTGGTCAGATATAGCCATCAACTTCAGTGACTTGGAAAATTGGTCACTTTGTACAACTTTGCACATTGAATATATATCAACGTAGAATCTCGAGGCCACGACTTCACATCTCGTGACCACAACATAAGTATGTGACCACGACATATCACGTTCCCACAAGTTAATATGGCATTTGCACGAATTAAAATATTGTGGCCTCGACAAAACTAAGTGAAACGAGCATGTCCCCTTCTGCTCACTGTAACTGCAATTGTTTTATAATAACCAGAATAGCGTCAGATAATGTCTTCTGTATTATGATGTACTTCCGAGAGTAACAGGTTGTCGAAGAATAAATAAATGTAGGGTGGAGACTTGGTTCTATTCATTGGTTGTTGACTGGATGTTGTAATGTCAGCGAGGTACTCAAATGTAAAGGCAAAAGTTCATAGTTATGATATTTTGATTAAAAATTGCAAGGCCCTTTTCTTTCTTTCTTTTAAATGACACTTATACATGGATGAATCGTACACGGCAGTTTACTTTGGCCTTCCCCAAAATAAAGGTATAACATTGTATACAGCAAGTTTATGCAACTATCAATACGTTTTACATTTAGTTTTGTTATATTCTTTTTGAGCCACTATATACAGGCAGCTTTCTTCCATTTCATATGAAATGACCACTTGTAGTGAGAGCCATCTGTGGTCATGATTGCTTGCACCATCTGCACTCCTTCGCTTTAGCCTTTAGCTCCGTTTGATTGGAAGAAAATCCCTTGAAATCCAGCCTCTAACTGAAATGACAGAGACATGTTTGTCCTCCTTACCCTGCGAAATGTGTCAACACAAACAAACAGATGGCAAGATAAGGCAAAGCCATATTGTTTTTCCCCAAATCATGTTTTTCCTCTTATAAAAAGGACCCCCTCTCCTATAAGACTGATGTTTGAACGGGATGTGATCAAGCCCCAATCCTTGTGTCATAATGCTGTTAATAATCCCCTCCACTGCAATCAAAAATAATAATATTTCAGCTCAACTTGCTTTTCCGATCTTCTGCTGGAGTCAGTCTGAGGCAGAGGACAGCACCTGAGAAATCAGCACAGCCACCAAAATAAAGAGTGTTTGCAAGATCCTCTTGGCTAATGCTAATGCTAACGCTACCCCCTCTTTCTAGCTGATCTGATTATTGGCTGTTTCTAAAGAGCAGATAAACACCATTGATTCAGCTGGTGTAAGTGAATGCCATATTGCCCATCAGCGCACTCGCTAAGGGAGGCATCACTAATCGAAGGACGAGTGCTCGTTTCTTTTGGGGTTGGTGTGGTGACGGGTGTGAGGGACAGGGCATTGTGAAGGATGTAGGCAGTTGAGCTTTCTAATATCTCTATTCATGCTATTAAAAATAAATGCAGTCAATTAAGACACAATCACTTGGTCTGAATAATGGAGAATGGGACGAGCGGAAACATTCTCATACTCCCCCTTCATCAGGCTCATAATCGAGACAAATGAAGGCCAATGTCTGTATGAAGTATGCAGCGAATATGTCTTTCTATAGGACTGGCATTTTTGCTATCGGAGAGACTTAATAATTCAAATGACTGTGTCATTTTTCCATTACTAGTTTTCTAATGGCCTCTGAATGTCATTACTTGATGAGCTGGAGTAAAACACAGATAGAGGTGTTGTAGATAAGGCGATAAGGCACAACAAAGGCACACGGATGGGATAGAGGAAATCTAAATCAGGTCGGCGATTTGAAGAGTTTGCCTAGTGTGCAATTTTTTAAAGGGGCTATATGTAAGAACATTCATGTATTACTCGCTTTTCTATTGCCAATGTGAGAACAGCTTGCAATGAAAATTATAAAACGAGACCTTCCCCAACTTCCTAGGTTATCTATGAAAGCCTGATTGACTGATTTGTATGTGAAGGACTCACAGATTTTGCTGGGGGAAAAAATGATGTGACGTTTACGCGCTCCTGAGAGCCTCTCTGTTCCGCTCTATGACACATGAAATTAATTCTTATACAAAGATCAGGAAAATGCAGAAGAGCCATTCTGTTCAATGTCAATGTGTCATGCAAAGAAAAACTATAGTCTCACATAACCAAAATTATATAGTCTATATTCTCAAATATACTTTATAATCAAACTGTCATAACAGTGTAATTTTAATTACCATATCTGTCGACATGATGCCGGTGTCACCGCTGTAATTTATGTTGTGTTTATTTTGTTACTGAGAGGAAAACGTGCCGCACATATTTACATATTCATCTAAATGTCGGTCTCAGCAGTGTGGACAGCGTCAGGATGTTCGTTAACAGTATATTGCTGCAAAGGAATTTCCAAATTATTTCTACTTCTAAGCAAATAACGAGAAAGAACTTCGCCTTGAGTATATCGGGGCATTAAATCACAGTCAGTCTCTTATATGTTAAGTGTGCATTAGTGTGCACGAGCAATAAGTTGCTGGCTGCAGTTCACTTAATGGCTGCCAGTGTAACTACCGTAATATATATACTATTTCTTTCTCCCTCCTCCACAAATGTTCAAAGCCTCCTCTTTCTCCTAAATTTAATTTTACCCCTAAGACTTCATCCCTGCTTAGATTTCTGTATAATTAGTGAAGGCTTTTAAATAGTAATGCTCACCATGAGAGAATATTTCAAAATTTCAGATAGAGTTCTAATTAACTTTAGTATCAAACTGAAAGTGGCAAAATGCTTCATGCTGCTGAAGCCGGTTGCACACAGCGCAGCTCCACAGAAACACAAGCCCGACCGCTGCCTTCACGCCTCTTCTGTTAATGCTTGAAGCATCAGTCTCTGCCTCCACCCCACCACTTCTCTTCCCTCCCCACCGCACCCTCCTCTTAATTAACCTTCTTGCGGTTTTGCCACTGAAATTAAAAGTGGGAGAGGAGAGAAGTAAAAAGGCATCTAATTAATTGCACCGTAAAATGGTGGAAATTAATCAGAACTGGAGGTGCAAGATTAAATTAGTTAATCAAAGAATGGCTTTTAACCCCAGGAACAGAGAGAGAATTATACACTCTTTTTGAGGGAGATGGAAAAACAAAGCCTCAGAACACTTATCTCTCTTAAAGTGAAATTAATATGTGGTAATAGGCGGCGAAATATGTGGCCGTGATGGTCTTCAATTATTGTGGCTGATTCGACACACCTTCCAGCGACGGTTCTCGTCTGAAAACGCGTTAAGGTACTTTGCGATGACATGCTAATGTTGCCTAAATTGTAGTATTAGTGCGCCTTGAGGTCTAATCAGCAAATCGCTGCTGCTTTTTTCCAGACGTCAACCTTAATTTCACACAATTTTTGTCTGCGCACTTCAAAAGGATGTTTACTGACATTTGCTAACCTTTAAACAGTGTGAACGGCTAGATGAGGCCAACACAGACACTTTATTTTCAGATTTTGACATTTGACAAGGGACAGGCCCATTTGACATGCACATACAGCTGAGGCATTGTGCCTTAAAAACACATCTAGTTTTGACATTTCTAATTCTGTCTCAGGCCTCATTCTTAAGCTGTATTCTCCACTTCTGATTTCCACCCTTCACTTCCTGTAGGAAGAACTGACACGCTCCAGGCTGCACCACCAGAAATTATCTATTTGTAATTTGGAGCTATTTTTGGCCCGGTCCTGGTTAAGTGTTGAGTCCTTGGCTGATTCAGGCCCCATTCAAGATTAATGACTTCAGACAGGCCCTGAGCAATGAGAGAAACAATCCGGACTGTGTCAGGCAGGATATTACATTGACACATCCAGCGGCTGACAGCTTGTGTCTTCCAGATAGTGAGGTGAGCACCTTTTCTGCTGGAGCTACAGTCGTCATGCTCACTGCTCGACTCTCTGACAAACACAGTATGGAAAACATATGCGGACGGAGGGGGGGGGGGGGGGGGGGGGCGCAGCGCAGGGCAGGGCAGGTCGGGGGGATTTGTGTAGGGTATTAATGTACTGTAGCTAGTTTTAACATAGGTTGTGTTACCCATAAATGGGTTCACTGGAATGATGCAAATGTGCCTCCACCAACAAACTCAAATTCACTGCAGTTATCAGCTGATATTTCCACTAGTGGCTGTAAAGTACTTTGGCATGGTTTCTTGCACAATACTATGTACTGTAATGATCTCAAAACACTTTTACCATAGTGCATCACATAACCAGCTCCATATGTACAGCTTTTCTGATGTAGTAAACATGCTCGGTAGCTCACCTGGTACTACAGCGTTGCATGTGATACAAAGCCCTCAAGTTCGTACCATGTTTTTTTCAGTACATGAGTTTTTAATCACACTTTTTATTTTGTTAACACTATAGGTTATGTTTAGGGTCAGGTTTAGTGTAGGCGGTACCAAGTTTAAAATACAACAAAGCATTAACCTATTAGTGTCACTCACCAGACATTTAATTTTCGAACTGTCATGATATGTACAATAACCATTTTAGTAAAACATTGCCAGATTCACGTTCATCTGTTTCTGATCAAACTGAATAGTGCCACTCACTGGACATATCACTTTGAAAAGGTCACAAAATCTGCAATAAGTAACGTGATATAATTTTGCAGAAATGTCACAGGAACATATATTAAAGGCTAAAAGAGTCAGACCAAGCAGACAACACAAGTTCAAACTGTCTCAAAACAGCAATAACAAAACACAGAGAAGCACCGGCATCACAATAAACTCATAACATGTGACAGAAGCAACAAACAACATTGGGAAATGAAATAGCAAGCACACCTGCTTTTTCTAAACCCCACAATAAACAAATACTTAATGCATACAACTAACAATTGTGATCAATCAAGGTGAAACACAAAAAATAACTAATGAGCCAACAAAAATCTAAATGTTAAAACTGTCCTGCAGGTTACAAATACACTTAC